GGTATTACAGTGCTGAACTCCTGAAATATGCTATCTTAAACGTTAGCGCTAACCTTCGGTTTCTTCAATTTTTTTTTTCTCCTTGATGGAAAGGGTGTTGACATGGCCCACTTTGGTCGCGTAAACAGGTGAATTTTCGGCGGTGACGTGGGCAAATCACAATCTTCTTTAATTCATACTTTAACTTCCATTCAGGGAAGTTGTCAACACTGTTGGAGGCGGCCAGTGTATTACCACCAGTGTCCACTTCAATTTGACCAGCAGGTGGGTAAAATCTCGAGCTAACGTCGCTAATGGGAGAGTTACAGCAGGCTGTAATGGCTTGTTATCTCATGCCTTGCATATGTTGTCTTCTTTCCAAAAGGGACACCGTATACTCATGTTTTTAGTTTTCCAGGAGACTAAATTGTAACAGCTAGACTGATAAGCTATCATGCCTTGCGAGGCTGATTGACTGATTTCCCATGATACATTTCTATCTTGTTTTTTAACCATGTGAGTCAGCCATCTTGATGGTTCGTCATTAAAGCTTAGTTAACCTAAACGTCTCTGAGCTTATTACAGACTTTTGCTCCTTTGCCTTTCAAGCACACTCAAATGAAACAAATTTAAGACCGACTCTCTATAGTGACCGAGTGAGATTGAAAAAATGTGGCACAAGGTTAGAAAAATGGACTCCTTGATATTTCGTCCAGAGATAACCTATGGTATGCTAAGAATCGTGATATAAGTCTTAGGTTTTAGAGTTTTTATATTTTTGAGAAAATTACGAAAAACCCGTCGACACTGCGTGAAGGGGAAAAATCACAGAAATGAGGTCAAATTTCATGATCAGATAATCGAACTCGCGTGAACGCGCACAGCAAATTTTGGCTTTCCGTAGTTTATAATTTTATTTAGGAGGATTGCTAAGATGCCTTGATGATATTTTAGACTTACAATTGTAATTCCGAATTCTTGGAGAGCAAGCGAAGAGAACCGAAATTTCTGTACTTTGAAAATCAAAAATTCCATAACGTTTTCAAACATCTCTAAACATACTCGGTATTATGTGGAATTCTTTCAAAATTCAATTCTAGCAAGTAAAAGAGCTGCTTTTGAACGCGATATAATTTTTTTCTTGG